GGAACTACAGATGGATTTGCACTGGATTGCTAATATCTCTTAGGTGATTCTGCAGGGTCGGTCAAAGTTCCGCCTATACCGTGTGGTGTATTGTGGGAGGGTCGGTGATTGGAGGAAACCGTCCCGGTCTACCGAGAAGCGGAGGTCGATCATTCTTGCAATCTTCACAATGGCGTACGGGCAATAATTTATCGCGATTTGCGAAAAGAAAAAATCGGCTATTTTGGCGGTTGCGTATTATTCGATTGGGGGTCAGTTGTACGATACGCGAAGAGAGCGACCTATCCGGATAGAGTGAATGTTTCCTCTTACTGCCTATCAAAACGAAGATGGGTGAGATAGCAGCTTTTCAGCACGGTACCGTCGAAGTCATATTTCAGAAAGGTGTCACCACATTCACATTTTCAAATGTCCAACTTCTAGCCATTATTTCAGCAAAACTAAGAACCTCTCAGGAGATTTGAGAAGGCGAGAATAGTATACTATGGAAACCTATAGTTTGCTTGTTGTATTTCAAGGCCGAATTGAATGCAGAGGGTGAATATTCGCATCGTAGCTGACATAAAGTTTATCAGTAGTATTCAGAGTATGTATGTGTTGATGTGTTAGGCCAGAAGGGTTAGATGATATTCAACTAATGCCGCAAAATTTGTATTTGTACTGAACTGTTCCCGGAGGTTTTCGCGCCTTACTTAGATATACATGCGAACAATACTCTTATACTAGCTCAGTTATCCAATGTGCCATTTATTTGTTGACTGTGGCTTCGTCGATTGTTATATAGAAAATGGTCGATGGGGTGCTTTGATGATGTTGAAAGCTGGATAGGACATTCCAGTGTACCAGTAATATATACAAATAGACGATACTGTACATTTGAATAAAAACTTACACTTCCGGGCCTGGACGATTCGCCAACACGGACGATTTCAATCACACCGGATTTGATCTGTTCAAAAGGGAAAGAGGATGAACGGATGAGAAAAACAGTCAAACGTGGCTCGATACTATCATCAGGATAGTTGACAAACCAAACACAAATACACAGCACGTCAAATCGGTGTTCAGGGGTGTGGGATTTGGAGGCCCGGGGGAGCAGGGAGCGGGGGCAGGAAGAAGAATCAAACTCCAGCAAAATGGGGAAAAAGACACCGGAGTGTGCAATTGAAGTGCTAGCCCATGTGAACATGAGCATGGGTATAATAGAGTGCAATAAACACATTGACATGTGAACAACTGAACGGTAATCTGAATTCCAATAACACGAGTGAAAGCAAGAGGCTGCTGTTTGACACAAACAAACACGGGTTATGGGAATTCTATCTACATAGAAATGCACACAGGTGTGGTGGTAAACGCCGCACAAAAAACAGTTGTGAAACGCCTACTCGTATTAATGTGTCTTCTGTTTACAGGAAAAGTCTGTAAACAGAAAATCATGAACCAACAATGTGAAACCACTCCTACCGAATGATTTTGAAGCGCTTAGCGTTTAGGCACAGAACTCCTTCAATGTTCTCGTCAGACTGGTCAGCCGTTTTTTAAGCATAAGAGTGCACACACTAAATGCCATCAACAGTGCTAATGCACATCTTTATTTCTAAGTTTACAATTCTGCTACAATAGATTCAACCAGATTTTCCTTTTTTTCAACATTAGCAATAACGTAAGGGAACAATGTGACCATTCCAGCAGCACTCGGCGAGTTGCGTGTTTCGGTGTAGGTGCTTCTAAATGAGAAACAGTATAAAATCTCTAATGTCTGTTTCAGTGCTGGGAGAGCGAATGGTCACATAAAGCGGGGAGGGCACGGAACGTGATCAGTGATGCGAAAAACCTATATTATTTTTGACCCCGCGGGAAGCCGTAGACCGTCAATGGCATAGAAAAATAGAGTGATAACTATTACTGCAGTTATTCAGGCGTAAATATCTATCGTGTTCAAGCTAATTACACTAACGTGCTTTAACCCTACAGAGAAAATTTTCGTCCGGTACAGAAATAAACAGCTCTAGCTTGTCATCTGTGGGTTGGTGAACGGAAAATCACGTGACTGCACTGGCAGGCGACGAGAGCATATGGCTGAGGGTCCATGGCCTGATAAACGCGAAGCGCAACTCCAACCTTCCGCTGACCTGTCCTACGAACGGGATTCTCACTGGTCCATTTAGTACGTATGTGTGATGCATGCTTGTGATTGTGATTAGGCGGAACGCATCAACCGATTGATCCTAGCACAAAAGTGACCAGTACAAGCACAGTGCACATTTTGGACGGTTTGATGCATCTGCATACGACTCGAATCAGTTTGCAGACTTTCGGAATATCAATCGCAGTGAACGCTAACCGCCTGATACCCGTCCACGGAACAAGCCTAATTATGTGTTTGAGGACGGACGGAGCGGGGTTACGAATGAATAGCACTGAGTTGTTTTAATTAGCAAAGATTAAACCGTTTCTACTAACGGCATGGATAGGCAGGTTTACTTATGGTAGGTCCAACAACAGCATTACATATTTTAATAACTTTTCTGTCATTTACCAGTTGCCAGAGACAAAAACGGTCAACTTCTGAAAAGTAATTGACTGATTTTCCTGCTTCCATATTTCATTAGCGAACTACCGCCTTCCCCTTCAGAACTTTTCCGGAATGGAGTGTGGCTGCGCAGTACGCGTAATTTTCAATTTTTGTTTAGGTCGCGCCTCTCAAACGAAGTGACCGGGCTCAGAAATTATATCAGCGGAAAATTCAAAGGAAAGAATTGGTCATCTTTTCAGTGACGTCTAATAGCTTGCCGTTATTAGCCACAGAGAGAGAGACGCTCTCTCATGACCTAGGCATGTAATGGCTGGAAAAAGTCAAGGGTAGTCAAACTGATATCGCGTTGAGGGTGTGAAAAAACCTGAACAGCCTATATACATCGCATTAGGTTTTCCTGGGTAGGAACGACAGGATCAACGTAACCCATAGTTGGAGACACTGAGTGATAAAGCTCATTGTAACGAACGATGGCACTCATGCATCTTTTCAAGGTCTTTGCAGCTTTAGTTTACCAGACTTCACTATTTTCACAGTTTCAACAGCACAATCTTCCCTGTGCTCTTTGATCCAAATAAGGAAACTAAAACCGCCGCACCAAAGTGTATGGATAATGGTCGCATACACTGAACCTAAAACCGAAGATGCACCGTTTACCAGCGGTCCTGAAGAATGTTTTGTTGATTGTACAAATTAGACCAAAGTCCGTAATCCAAGCAAACTTGTTTTGAAGGAACGTATTTTTTTGTCCAACTCGTAAACAGTTTCAGTTTGAACAACCATAAATCATGTACTTTCGTGCGCCAGTTTTGTGTGCTGTCTTTTGGCTGCCCATTTGGATAAGAGGAGAAGACAGGAAATTTGAAGGTAGAGTCGAGCAGAAAATGGAGAAGTTCAATGGTCTGAGATTGCAAAGAAATTGAGAATATGCACGAACGCCNAATTTGAAGGTAGAGTCGAGCAGAAAATGGAGAAGTTCAATGGTCTGAGATTGCAAAGAAATTGAGAATATGCAAGAACGCCACTGTTTATGATACGCAGTCATATCATTCAGTGTCTCTAACCATCGGGTACGATCATCCCAGTGAACACAAAACTTCCCAGGAATACAAGCCACAAATCACAGCATATGTCGGGGGCTGAACACCTGAATTGAGGATCACGCGATGCAGCGGGCGTGTAAGCTTTGTGTTCTTACCGTCTGTTCAGACGCCTCACTATGAGCATCACTCTCTACAGGTTCTTTTTCGTCATGCACCGGACCGGTGCCTACAGGCAGTTCATGCTTTTCTTTTACAGGTTCGTGTTCAACATGAGTCGGTTCATCTTTTGGAACTAGCTCTTCTTCATGAACCACTGCTCTTACACACAGTGTGGATGCGAGTTCTTCTTCCGAAGTGTTTTTCTCCGTGGGTACGTCTTTTTCTAAACACATTGCTTGGACCTGTGATTCTAGTTCGGCCGGTTCAGATGCTTTTGAGGCCTCAGATGAGTTTTGCACAGTGTCGATCGTAACCTGGGTGAGCATCTCGACACAGACGGACTCTTCCTGCGATTTGTCCTGCCCAGGTTTGTGCTCGCTCTCGGCGGGTGGTACCGACGAACGTTGTTCAATCTCCATGCACGTTTTTCGCCAGATAATATCCCATTCAGAATCTAGTTTCTCCGGGCTCATACAACTGGATGGTTGTGACAGTGGTGAGAGCAAGTCAAGCTGGAAATCATAGTAATCAAACGACTTGAAGTGGTGGAAAACAGATTAGGGTATATAGTCAAGTTGAATTGGTTGTCAACTTATCAGTGCAGATGAATCGACAGCCAAATCTTAAAACTGGCTCAATTACGTACGGCATTGTTCCAATAAATATCTTTTGTGACTAGACAAAACACTGAAAAAAGCCCATGGATCAGTCCACAATCAATTTCCGTGCAGTGGAAGTAAATATAACGAGCAGCTATTATTGTACAAAACTGTTCACTTGAAAATGAATACATATGAGAAATAAAGTATTATCTTTTTCCCGTAGATATACACTACGGTATTGGGGGCATCCAGTCATCCAGCCATAAAAAAATGCCTCATCCGGAATGATTTCTATCAGTCGCTATCATGTGACTGCAACTCATGTATGTGCAGTATTTGGATCAGGCAAGACTGTCAAACGACACATCAAACTCTACCAAGGAACTGACACGCGACTATTCGCAGAAATAAGTAAGAATGGTCTATCATTTTACGCGTACATGATGACATCACTAAGTGGTCACTCACTGTTTTCCCAAGTAATTCACCAAATTGTTTTTTCTTATTTTCTAAGATGAGGAAATTCTAAATCAGCTTGATTCACAATCGACAAACCACGCACGCGAGCTATTTTCGGTTCGAATCAATCCAAAATAAGCATGGTACAAACACACACGCACGGTTGACAACAGAGACCAGATAAAGGGAACAGAAAACGCTGATGACAAAGACCATATCAAAGAGTAAATTTCATTCAGGTTCATGAAAAGCGGTTGTAATATACGCGTAAATGAGGGAGCATTATAATTCATAAGATTTAAAATAATGATACAAGAATCTGGTAAATCCCATTGAAGATTCCACAACATTATGACGTCATTTACCGTGGATGTGGTTACAAATTAGTGACATCAATGTGAAAAGCAGTGTCATGCAAGCAACAAGACTGAATGAATTCGAAAGACTCCGAACTTTCGTAAAAACCGAAATGCATCTAATAATCAACAGGTGAGAAAGAGGAAGAAAAAAGCCCTCGTTCCTTGTACTTTAGTTCTCCACAGTGTCCTTATTTGAACCCAAATCCCAACTTTTGATTTTGTTGTTGGCATGTTAGCCCCATTTTCGTTCTCAGACCATAAAAAACGAGAAAACATCTTGAATTTACCGTAAAGATGAATGAATGAACATTATCTCAGATAAGGATTGTAGGGGCCAAACATCTGGACCCCCACGAAGTGAATTGCGGAAACCAAAGAAGAAACTGTTCAATGGGCGGCCAATTGCACCGGTTAGTTAGTTCGCTTTTTTATATTAGAATTTGTCAGCAGTGCGTTCTTCACCGATCATTTAGAGACATAAACCATAAAGTTTAGAATTGGTGGGCACGTTACACTCTCATCCGAGCCGCACAGATGACAGCTGCTATTTTGAGCGTAAGGAAACTGCTTATCAGATTGTAAGCCCCGTTCGTATTAGTTCAAATTTAAGCTCAAAAGGCACACAATTGTGTGTACCGTTCGCTGAAACAGATGGCAACTGGAAGATGATTACTTCACTGCTGAACAGAACGTGAACTGGGCGGTGTGGGCTCTGCTGCATTTTTGTACAGACCTACACTGCTCACACACCACTTGGTGACGCTGCTTGGCGTCCCAAACACTGATACTTTGTATAGTTTAGAATAGTGTACCTCGTATTATTACAAACCCATCACGATATCGGCAGGTATTGAAAACCTTAAATCTTACCCAATGTCGTGCCAATCGCATGCCAACCCATTATCATTGAAATTTTTCACTGTTCAAAACCCCTCTCTCATGCCTCATCCCATCTTATATGTTCCTCCGGTCACAATTCAGTCCCAACCGAGTAAGAGGCTGAGTTAGCCGTGACCCACTTCTCCTGTTTTGCATACCTGGAGTGTCCTGAAGCAGCTGTTTACCACTCTGACATTGATGCATTGATATGATATTCGTTCCAACTTCGTTTTGTGGTTCGACACAGTCAATAACCCTGTGCTTCTCGCGATCTCAGATACTTTCATTCATAGATTTCGCATTTGTCAAACTGCGTCCGGTTGGATTGGGAAGAAATTTTCGCATTGCCATTTCAGATTGGCTCATTCTGATGTGCAGTATTTTCCACAATGTCGAAAAAAATGTTTACCTGTTCATGCGGTAATCGTTTATTAGCATCTCACACCTCCAAACATTTCCCCTTCGTTAAAACTATCTAAGTACAACCAAAGTCAGAGCTATTTATGTGTAGTATGCCGGGATAACCTTCATCATTATCAGTTCGTAAAAATGGCAAACCCGGGAGAAGCGGTTACGGAGATGCAAGCGAAAATTCCGATAGTTATTACAACATTTGGCACATTATAGTGTATAATAGTATAAAAAAATTAATGAAACTACATCATGATCCCTAGAAAATGAAACCTCGACAGCTAGGAAAAGTTGTCCGTTGATTAGGGAATGTAAGTTTAGTGAATGTAAAGGAATGTCAGTGCCAGGGTAGAACCACCCTATGAGGATCGGTATCGTCCCGGACTGAACAACAAACAAGTTTCTAAACACTGACAATTGTCGGAGCCCAATAAAGGACCCCAAAGAACCACNACAGAGTCATAGATTGACATTTTCAGACTAGGATTTCATTGTATTCGGGCAGCTACTAACGCTTTGTTGCAAAAGCAGCCAATGTATCTATTCAAAATTTTGAATATTCTGTGATCATACAGAGAAAGAAATACAATCCAACCGGAGGCTTGCGCTGTACATTTGGATCTATCAATAAACGACAAGTTAGTGTGCTTATGTCAACCTCAAGATCATATGCTGTGGTGAAAAGCAGTTTATGTGCTTGAAGGTTATCAATGTACATCACCGCGTGACTAAAAGCCATCGTTGTGAAATGGGTGTGGCAGTCGATTTTGCATGGCCTGCGTTTAAAGCAGTCAAGTTCAGTATAACTTGATGGCAATGCAAAACCCTGTATAAAAGCCTATGTGAAACCAGTATGCGCTACATGGCCAATCGGTCTGTCTACTATGGCAGTGATACACTGCATCTGCAACCCTATTTACGCGCTTATCTTGACATCCCACAGCCAAAAATAGTCGTGGTTTCTGGGTTTTCACTGGCTGCTGAATAACATCTTTTTTTTGAATAGATAGTAAAAGAAAAGTTAAATCAAGTGGTGTCGTATTTTCAGAAGAAAAGGATCGTAAATGAAAATTAGGCTTGTGAAATTACCCTCAAATCAAACGAAGAAATCGCATAAATCTGGTATAGGCAAGACGTGAGACAAACCCCTCTAATCTCACCACAAACGTGGCCTGCTTTTGTGATCTTTATCGGGTTCACATGGAAATAAACGCTGGCTAATGACAGCATTAGGCGAAACGGTCTGGTTTTTCCATTTGTTTTTCTCGTAAGATTAGTAAACCGAATGGAAATCGAGTAACTAGCGCTCATTTGCACTCGCTTATGGACGTTGTGAAGGTTCAGTTGAAAATTAAATTGGATGTGGTTCAAATATCGATTTTTCTCTCAAATCGATGGAATAAAGCAGAAAAATAAAAAGAATTATTTTACTTAACCATTTGATCAACATTTTGGGGTACCAGTGTACTGAACCCACCCGATGGGATCTAACTGAAAAGTTTAATGAAGTAAATTACCGGTTAAACAGATCGTTTATTTCAAAAGCGATGTGCTACTTATGTTACGATAACCAGATCCAGGTATTTTACTATCATTTCTGAAGTGAGCTGTAAAACAAACAGGTAAGGACTCAGATAAAGCAGTTAAGCAATACTCGAACGAAAATATGAAACTAGGGTGGGTAGACAACTGTTAGACTGACACTGCATGAGACCAAACTATGTGTTAAATAACCACATCCATTATTGAATAAGCGAAATGCCCTGTTTGTTGAAACGATTCGTGTTCAGTTCCTATTCCACACCAAAGCAATGAGTGAGCACAATACTCTCAGGCCAAATTTGTATTAGAATGTGAAAAAAGCACCGTGTGTTGTGGCCAGTGCGGAGAATAATACTGTGGGTACCTACGACATGAAGCAACTACTACACTACTCAACGGATACAGATGCATTGAAAACCATTGAGATATGATTCCTTTCGGAAAATTTATCCGGATTAAAACGACTGAAAGAAAATACATATGTCTTTTGGTGATGAAAAACTCACCCGATGACTGTCTGAATCTTTGCGGGAAGCTAAAGATTAGAATGTAAAGCCATAAAAAAGAACAACTCAATAGTAGCCACAATATAACCAGTATTATTATTAGTATATGACAAAANAGTATATGACAAAAATATTAATTCTGTGAAAAAATAGATCACTTCCAGGGTTATTTGTCACACACACACAGTGTGTGTATGTGTAAACTTCATTAGTCTATGCCGAAGTGTAACGCAAAGCTCCCACAGCGAAATGTTTTGGCACAAGCATTTACTCAACAGAATGAAAACGAAAGATGTATTGTTAGTATACTGCTAAACCAGTCGCTCATATTGATGACCCCCATCGCACTGTAAACAGAATTGAATTAATCAAGAACCCGGAAGCCAAATACGAGACATTGCACATCGTTCCACAGCTATGCGATGATTGAAATTGGAAAATGTTGACTTTGAGTACCGAAATAACAACTTCTGTGTAATTTGAATACTACTCCTGAATGAACAATACGGGCACTTGTATACTATACTCACACGAGTACTTCTTAAAGTTAGTTGGTATATCAACGAATCGCTGAACTAGAATCAAACACAAATACTTCTGGTTTCTTACTTTGAATTGAAGACAAACGACACAAGCGAGGAATTGGTGGCAGAAACCAGTTCTACTAGTCATTCGCATTTTACTCAGTTACTTGTGTATGGTGTTGTGGGATAATCAATATTGTTTGATAAGAACTGACCATCCTTCAGACTTCACCTTCACACAATCCTCAGTTCTCCTAGTCAATCATACACTTGGAAGCACTATACTATACTTGAGTTTTGCTATTCCCAGAGCTCATCGGTAGTGCACGTCCACCATGGTGTCCGGGTTTGAACTCCGACCCCATCGCATGGAAGGCGTGTGTATTACCACTGTACCAACCAGCTCGTAACAGGGCTGAACCGAATAATCAATTCATGTTTGTTCAGGTGTGGTCTTCAGTGATTGTCAGTCAGTTCAATTTGGCCCGACAGCAACAAAGGAGAACAGTTGACTACCCGTTAACTCCAGTCGAAGGTCATGTCTTCTATGCAGTTACGAGATAACTGGCCACAAACCTACCAGGCTGGGGTAATGACTTACATTTACCTCACGGTTACTGACTGACCATCTCTGAAGACGACACCTAAAAAAGTATGAATGGGCAACCTTGTTAGGACCAGGCATGAGCTGCTTAGCACAGTGATAACACACGCTCTCCATTCCGTGGGTCCGGAGATCAANCCCCGGACGCCATGTCTTTGTCTGTCTTTAAGTTATTTACTTCCTTTTTTTTATTTTTTGAATGTACAGTCAACATTCAGGAAGGAGGGCTGCGACCATACAAAGGCTGTCTGAGAAGACGGGCATCGGTGGAGCGGTTCGAACCCGGGACTCACAGGTCACGGGTTGGCGACCTAACCACTTGACCACCACCATGGTGGATATGTACTACTGATGAGCTCTAAGAAGAGCGAAAATCAAGTCTAGCGCTTCCGAGTGTATGGTTGATTGCAAGAGTTGAAGAATGTGCGTGAAGGTGAAGTCTGAAGGCTAATCAATTCTAGTTAAGTGCTTTCTACGACAACCCCATTACGACGTAGTAATCAAGCTGTATTGTTGTTTGACTACATTTGCTATGCATCCTTACCGCAAAGTTCTACGGTTAACTTTATTTTACGTTTATTGATTAGACGAAAACTTGAGTTTTTGGCGACAGATTTACAACGGGGTTTTCCCAACGAGCAGTGCGATCCCCTGATCAAAAATCAGTCAATCGCAGTCCGACAAGAGGAGTGGAATTAGCTGAGCTTATAAACTATGTTCTTGTAACAATACATAGTATACCTATCGCTTACTGCGAAACCAAGTTGGAGTGAGAAGAAAAGTTGATGTACCAAGAAATGCTGATGTTCAAGTTTATATCCAATCCAAAGCTGTTGTACAAACATATAAATGCCTCCAGAATAGTCAAGTCTGGCGTTCCAGCGCTAAGATTGGTAATACTTGTCTCAGTAGCAACAAAGGAGGCAGGTGAAATATTCAAAGGCCCGTACACTCATGGGTTGACTGCACTTGCCAACACCGGGCTATGACTACCTCTGTTATTCGAGGACATACCATATCCACCACTAACCATAATCGACTTTTCCCCAGAAATCATACCATCGAAATTGCAGTGGTTGAAAAGAACTTCATCTCCGGGGATAGATAACATCCATTCACAAACCCTCATTAACCTGGCCAGTAACAATTCAGCCATTAAGTGAAATATTCCAACGTGTTTGACAAACATGTGCTCCCACGAACATGGAACCAAGGAATAATTTCACCAATATACAAAATTGGCTGCAGTGAACCGGCTAACTACTGCCCCGTTTCTCTCCTCCCCGTATGATCCAGTCATGGAATCCATTGTTGCAAACAATATGAGTCATTTGTAAAAACACATGTTATCCCCTGCTAAACATGGGTTTCGTCGCAAGCGATCATGACCGGAGAGCAGTGAACAAAAGCAGTTGATCACGGCGATACAACGGAAGTGTACCTCGACTTCTCCAAGGCATTTGACCGAGTCAACCACAAAGTACTGTTGAGGAAACTACACAATCATTGAATTTGTGAATTTATACTGGATTAAACAGAAGAATTTCTTCGAAAACGCATTATGGTGGTTTGGGTTTCTCGGTCATTATTTGATCCTATCGGCGCAGCCCAAGGAGTTCCACATGGATCTGTCCTATTCTCTCAACATTTTTAGTTGTCATAAACGACTGAACGGGACATTCTGGGGCCATAAACGCCAATGCTTGTAAACGATGCAAAAATACGAAAAACAGTGACAATGCCTGAAAAATCACTGACATTTCAGAGAAAACTTAGTGCTGCTTATCCATGGTCGATTGAAAATGACATTGAATGCATTGCATCAAAGTGTACGGTCGTATCTCTTCACTAAAAACCTCCGTTTCTGGGATATCAACAAATTCCGTATGCTTCGAATGAGAAAGATCTCGGTGTCATTGTTAAAGACAAACTATTTTTTTCTTTAAGCTGATGCAGGATGTCGTCCGTCGCTGCAAGACATGGAGGTTTTCTAAAGCGAGTATTTGGTTATTTTTAATTTATGCTGTGCCCACGTTTGTTATCAGCCTACACTGGACCCTACCTAGAGCAAGCTATTCAAGCGTAAAATCGATGGGTGCAACGCGATCGTAAGATTCTGGAACTGCCATAAATAATAGCCATCAAAATGGTCAAGGGACTGCGCTCCAAGGCTTATGTGGACAGAGTGGAATCATTGGGGTTGTATTCCACACTATTCTTCCTTTCAGAATAATTGCATATCGAAGTGTTGAAAGCCAAGGAAACTCGTCCACAATACATGAATCTGGGTGCTCAATTGGCAAAAGCCAAAAATCGTTCTGTGAGAACTGAATTGAACTGAACTGAAGCGAAGTATCACCGAATTTGAGGAGACTTTATTTTGGTGTATCTTGTAACGCAGAATCGTGAGCATCCATGTAGTTCATCGTTGGTCTTGTTACCCAATACTCACCTCAGGGAGGCCTCATTCAAATGGTCGAAGTGTACTTTCTGAAAATTGATTACATCACTGTGTTTTTAATAAAAGAAAGTAACAGATCACTGCCGTATCTATGATCGCGGTCATCCTTATCAATACTTCGAGACAGTGAGGGATACAACCGAATGCCACGAACAGTACTCCTCGTGTATTGATTCACTGCATATAGAACCTGGGCCTTCACAGGTGGAAAACAAGCATACTATCCTCTTGACCACCACGAACAATAGAGCACAACCCATGCCCGCCAACTTAATATGGGCATTTATGGTTTAGTTTATTTTAACTCTTCCTTTTGCCAAACTCTACCAAACCGGTAGTCGAAAGACAGCAGTCTAAACCGTCGCACTTGCAGCGCAAGGTTTGTGGCTATGAAACTGGAAACCGAATGAACTTATTTTCACGTACCATCAATACACTAAGCATAGGTCACTGGTGAACCGACCGTGAAACATTAGTAATTTGTAAAAACAAGTGAACAATATGCAATCCTAGTTTTACCATGGAGATAAAAAAACCTGCCATATGAATTGATTCAACTGATTCAAATTTGAAGTATTACATTTGACCAGTGATGAGTAGTTCACAACCTGAATGGGTATGAATGCCACTGTATCATTTCCTTCCTTGGAAAATTCTTAGCTGCCGATTTGTTCCGAGAAATAGCATGGTGTACGCAGATCCGAAGCTGAGCTAATATATATACATAAGTACTTTCTGTAGGTGGTCAGTGCACAAATTTGCGATCAGCGGAACGGTACTGTTTGCAGGTGATGCCAAAATTTGGAATACAGTTACATAACCAGAGGGTTTCTAACACCCCAAGAAACATTGAGGATTATCAATGGTCTATGGAAAACCACATTGAATTGTAAATGCACAGTTCTATCTCTATACTACAGAGGTAGATTCCCATGTTTCCTCAAATCTCAGCAGCTGCAACTTGCTTCAATTGGGAATGACCTAGGTATTATTGATCCAGAAGACAAACTGCACGATCAATCGCGCGAGGATTTCTTCCGCAACTATAAAAAATTTCGACTTAGACGCGTCTTTGGTCGATTGAAGCCCGCACTATTCTCACGTTTGTTATCCGTGTACCTTCGATTGCACACAGAGTACGCCATGTGAGCCAGGGTTTCCATGGATATTTGTTCTCAGTTTACATCCCTTTATTGAACTTATAATGTTACAGTTTTCAAGAAAACCAAAGCGGCCAATCAAAGGGTTGTCACACAGAAGACAAGGAATATGATCGGAAGATGGTAGTGTCCACAAACGATTGCCTCCAAGAGGGTCAATTATTACATTACCTCAAGTACGTGGGAAAAATACAATCGTTGGAATTACGCCCCAATCTGTAAATCGAATTCAAGGAGACTTGATTTTGGTGTACCAAATGTTACAGAACCTAAACCATGTATATCGTCCTCTGATCACGTTTGGGTGCAACATCCACCCCAGGGAACACTGTTTAAAGCTAATGCTTTCAAGATATTGACTTCAACCTTTCGCCGTCAATGTGCATCACTTACAGCACTCTTCTAACACATCCCATTAGTGCGTATATTGAATCTTTCAATCAAAGACAGGATTAAACCCTGGAACACTTTGCATTCCAGAACAACGAGCAATGTAAAACAGTCGAAAACTACCTTACGTGTTATGTCCACAACCAGAACAAAATGTGACATTTCTCATTTTTCGTCGAGAAATGATTAAATTGTGCAGATATTCTATGGAGCTAAGATGAGCACGAGGTTGTAAATAATTTATACATCAAAATTTGGTGCTACGTACACTGCGAGGATAAATGGCCATGGAATGCTCACCAAACGTATTAGCAAATCCGATTTCCGATAACTTAATTCCGATTTCACAAGAAAATTATTGATACACCTTAAGTCTAGCGCACGCACACACACACAAACAAACAAACACACATCTCAACTTACCTGGGTTGACCGATGGGCTAGAGAGACGCTCCAACGAATCCATATGGCTGTCCACAATAATGTTGTTTTCTTCAAAATACGCTCGAGCTTCTTTGTCCAATACGAGCAAGACAACATGATCCGGTAGCTCTTTGATCCGACTAACTACTTGTTGGTGTGGTTCGCTCACTTGACGATGTGATTTCCGAATTACGGGGAACAGAAAGAAAAGGGGACCGAGCAAAATACATTGTTAAGACATTCTCAAGGTAGGCTCAGAGAATGTGACAGTTGAGGCAGTCAAACAGTCCAAAGGTTTATGCATCTTACCAGTCAGTTCGAACAACTTGGTGAAATTATTTTGCTTCAAGGATGATTATCCGAGTGCATAGTTTCTGAACTCCTGCTCACATGTATAATACTCTTCCCTCACAGTGTGTACACAACCGCTATCGAAAACAGATAGGCGTCGGAAATTACCTACTTGAAGAAACGTTTTCGTAGCCGTCGGGTTAGACAAAATGCACAGTTGCGCCTGAACAAACACAGGCACGAACTTTCAGTGAAAAGAATGTTACACTTGCGCTAGCAATCCTGCAGATTAGAAAACGTCAATCTGAGTTTTATCAACACTTTAAGCGTTTAGCGTTTAGAACAAATTATGGGGAACTAACTCTTATACATGGGCAGTGGTGGCGCAGTGATTTAATCGCTGTCACCGGTGCACTTTGGACCCTGTGATCCGAGGCCCGCCACCTAACTTTGGCGGTAGACAGTCTTGCTGTCGTCCGGTTCAATACCACGCCTAACCTAACGGGGTCTTATGTGGTTCGCCACTCCAAGTTCCGGTGATCAGGTTACCCGTTACCATCACTGAACAGCAGGTGCTAGTGGCTATGGGGTCCGCCCCGTCTTCTATTCATCACACACTGGTGTGTAATAAATAAATAAATAAATCTTCCCGATGAATTTACGCACACCGAGTGAAATCAAGTCTATTGGGTCATCTTCTTTGATGATACTATTTCTCCAAGATGGAACACAGATCGAAGATGAGCTAGATTCCAATAAAAATTTTAGGCTGAGTAACAAGCAAGTCGTTTTCCATAAATAACCGGTGAACACAGGCCTCGAACACTACCAGAATCGGGTCGTAGACAACCAGGTTTATATAACAAGCATAACGTGCATTTGAGAGGTAAACCCCTTAATCATATAGAAAGAAACAAGATGGGGATGGGTGGGCACTTATACACAATATTTCGATACAGTTCTGGAGGGAGGATCAGCGGACTAAGCGTTCAACAATTCCGGGACAAAGAGAAAAATAGGATTTAAATACCGATCGACATGTTGTTAGAACCACTTGGTGAGGGTAACTAAAAGTTCGTGACCATGCCTTGTGGACCAATGCAAGCGAATAGGGGCAAAGTTGCAAGCTTACCAGAGAAAAATACGGAGTGATAACGATATAAATGGACTAGAAAACGATCTGACGGTAATGAGCAACCAAACGATGAGTGAATATTAGGGACTAAACAGCGACTGGATTTGAGCTGAACACGATCCAAAGATGCAAAAGAAGTGAAGTGAGCACTACCCCATACGTGGCTACAATATTCCCTAGTGAGACATATTTCGCTTTTGTACATGGTATGAATTTGGGAAGGAATGAAAACAGTTTCACGCGGTGACAGTTCAACTATGTGAGAGAGCCAAGACAGATGACGGAAGACGGGGACCAAAATGAACTCTAGATGTGGAGTCCAGTGAATGAGATTTAAAATGCAGATTTGGAGAACAAAGATGAGGCTTTCACGATACAGACACACGAAAGATTTCAGCGACATGGCAGAAACGAACAGACTTTTAGTACTCTAAGCACTGACAGTACTCATGTCTGTATTGAGTGGAGCACATGCGGACAACTGATTGTAAGCCGTTATGGTGATGCTAGAGGAGGCACGAGAAAAGTTGTGTGAAACAGAACAATCTAAAGTGGCACCAGATGGCCAGAAGCGTTTCAGACTAGGGGAAAAGCCAGAGGACACAAATTACAGGAAACCGCTTTAGCAAGGGACCAGAAGAAGCGGCAACCTAAAAGTCAGTTGATAAGTTTGTCAACTATAGCAGAAACAAATCTGTTTGTTTTTCTGAATGATCGCCGAGCAGTTATTACGGACTTTTACGTAGAGANAATGAGAAAATCGATTTATGGATAAAGCCAGCGCTGGAAAGCTTTTATTCTTGCACTACTTGCGCAGGAAAAAGTATTTGTGAACCAATCAGGGGTGTTATTTACTGAGCTCCGTAAATTGGGTAGCGTGTACGTGCATTCATTGGAGAATAGCCTTCAAAACATCCAGGGTTCAAATGAACGGGTTGGAAGAAAAACGGTGATCCTGACGACTGGAACGCCAGAAGTTCCCGGAAGCCACCTTAGTCTGCAGGCTTGTAACGCCAGAAGGTGGGACGAGAAGGAAATATTGAGATAACAGGTATAATGGGAACATTGAAAGCTGATTTAGCAGTGGTTTGATAAGCTAACAAGTGAAGATGAAAATCAATCTCGTAAAAGACTGGAAGTTAATAGCAAGTCAATGGCGCGGGCGCACTCTTATGTACAATCAGGAACACTCGTGGGGAAGGTGATCAATATGGCTGCTATNNNNTATTCATAATAGCAAGCAGTTTCACCTCGCGGCCCATGAAGAGAGATAAGAGGTGTTAGAAGGGTGATTACCACAGTATAAAATGTGGCTAGAACGTTAGATACGAGGCTTTAGCCACAATAAATAAAATTCAGAAATTCAAGATCAGAGGGCCTGTAAGACGATGTCATATAGTGTGTTAATCCACTGTGAGTTAGCTGTTTTAAGAATGTACATAAGTTTTAGTTTCAGTTTGAACACTCATTACCCGTGCACCTTTGGGTGACTGTTTTGGCTTTTTTCTTCCGGCTGCCCATTGGGATAAAGTAGTAGAAATAAGATTGGAATGTCTAACTCCAAGTCAAAGTGAAAATATACCATACATGTGGACTAAGGTGATAAATTGCTAGAGATGTAGGAGCGGGACTGTTTTCGAAACATCCATATCACTCAGTGTCTCGAAGCGACAGCTACACTGATCCCGAGGTTCCCATGCAGTTAAAGATAAGGTTCCGTTTTGATCGCGATACCATAGAGAAGGATACTTTCAAGGTGTCCATTCACAGATTTTCAAAGATGCATCTCTAAAATTTGCTCTTAACTTTACGAATGAGCCACGAAATTCAAACACTTCAAGTCAACGAAAATATTGGTTAGTCAAGCTTCAAGTCCGTTTGGGAAACAATGAATGAGACTGGGCTATTCATCTCTTACTATCATGTGCTATCGTCTATCATTGATGTTGTTTTGACATGAGTAAAACGTAGATGATTACATTTAGTCGTATTACATTGCGATGCCTCCGAAAGCCTTCATATGGTTGGGGGTGAGTATCTTGGGTTGTGGTTGGTCACCTCTTTTTGATTCTCGGAACACATTCCTATACAAACAGGCACCTTAAATAGCATCTTCTGTCCTGATGTCCTACTCACTGCTTCTCTATGTCATAGGTACTTTTCCAACAACTGAGAGGATAAAATTCCAACATCTGGAGCAATTACTAGGTCAGGGAACCACTATTTGGACACCTAGGAGAGTTGACTAAAAATCCGAATTACAAACAAACCAAAAAGAGGCGTCTGAACCACACACCTACCCGGTCGGGGCAGTAGTCATCGAGGTGTATTGCGCACCTTGGACGTTTAATCCCTTTCAAAGCGTGTATTATTCAATCGACTGAACAATAGTTAGCAAAGGACAGCAGTTTTCCCTCACCAATCCGCCTCCTTGTGGGTTAGACTTTGGTTAGCCAAAGGCTCTGTTCATGAATGTTTCAGTAAAATTTACCTAGTTTGACCTGGGCACCCGAGCAGTATCTTGTCCAATAGCAAATACGTGACCATTTTCTTTGTTTCAACGATACTTTTACCGCGATTAGCATGGCACGCAGTCTGGAAAGCATACGTGTGCAAAACAATACTGTATTTATGTAATACTTTATGGTGATGCTTATTGTTCTAGGAAAGCAGTGTGCTTTATAAACCAGTCAATGAACAAATATGAATTGTGATATAAACGCACCGTAAATGTTGCGCTTTCTATTGATGCAATACGCATGCAGACAATTAGCTGATAAAATAGCTAGGTAAAATATTTACAGCATTATTGGAAAACATCATTGATTTTAGGTAAATAATGTGTCTCTAAACCACAAAAAAAGCAATACCAGGTAAGTTTTCACACTCTCAATGCGGGTCAGAATGATGTCAGCAAGTTAGCTTGGTTCGTCCAATTCACAGATCTCTTTTTGTATTACACACCTGTGTGATAAACGGCAGATGGGGTAAACCCCATAGTCATGAGGACCTGATGTTAAGTGATGGAAACCGGCAACCTAAGTCCCAGGACTTGGAGTGGCGAACCACATAAGGCCCCGATAGGTTATGCGTGGTATTGAATCGGACGACAGCAAAGCTGTCTACTACCAAAAGATCTGACTGTAACAAGCATCAAATTTACTGAGTCACTCAGATAAGCTCATCGTCTTTTATGATAGCACTGCTGATTCAGGCAGCAATTAAGATCTGGATGTTGTTATCTGCAAGCATGCGAATAAATTGCGGAGTTAAGGTTAAATTCCTTGTTAATCTAAGATCTTGTTCTTGGTGGATTCTATTCGAAAACACCTAAAGATGTTCTTATTCAGAAAAAGCAGAACTGGTGGTCATAACGGTGAAATCCCAGACAAAACAGTGCCAAAAAAGGAGTAACTGTATATATTGAAAACTGTTCGAGAAAAGGGTATATTGCCAACTCTGATACTCCGGGGTCTTGCTAATTGGACAGGAGCTATAAATCTAACCAAGTAGAACATATGAGACAACACTAAAATTAATTAGTAAGCTACCCAAAACAGGAACATGATAAATCATTGGAACGCTAGGAGTAATATCAAACGTATGCTTTACCGGAACTAAGGTAACTAGAATGACAATAATCTGTACAGACGCCCAAGTGAATTGTGCAATCACTAATGATGGTGACAGTCAGAATCCACAATGAACAGAAGATTTGAATTTAAAAATATACTAATCAGATATACACACTCAAAAACGCCTCCCAGACGTTTCCAATTCTCCTTGTTCTCGGACATTTTACTGTTCATTTTGATGAAATATTCCAAGTAACTCCAATGAAATCAATTTGCCGAAAAAATTCCTGTTTGTTACTACATTTTTTCAATACAGTGGGATAAATCATACATCTAAACTAAACGTAATCCCAAATGGAATAAACGGTTAATTCTATTCTGTTCTTCCACTGAATATTTTCCTTTAAATCAGTTTGAGCGCAATCTAGATTCCGTCCCAGACGAGTAAAACAGAATTAAAAGCTCCAGCTCATAGTTTCTAATGTGAATTGTTAAAATTTTGTAGACAATCAGATGACAAAAACACCAAGAAAGATGAGACACCTGGCTTCAAACATTAAAACATTACAGTATTTTCAATTTATGAAGAATAAAAGTAGGTATACTATTTGACCATCTACGGAGACCATTTCCAGATAAACAACAAACAGGTTTGTTTTCGTTCACAAATCAGTCAGCGAAAATACAATTGAAACTACTAATTTAAACCACGGAATTACGTAAAAGCCATATGACATTCTGTAGTAATAAACCACATTGAACCTTAACCTCTCGCGTACGCCCCTCAAAGAGGCAGGGCTAGAGTATTGAGCGATCGAGTGGGTCAAAGGCGACTTTCAGATAGAGGGAGACAAGCGTGGTGGTTTTACAAAAGGAGTTTGTGTTCTCGAGATATATTCTATAAAACCTCGATCATATCTAAAACCGGCCTTATTTTCTTGCATGCACTGTTTACATGTGGTAAACAACTGACGGAGTATGATCCCAGCAAGAAGTTCAGAGGCAATGTGGTGGTGGCGAAATGGTTTAGTCGCCATCACCAGCGTGCTTCAAACCCAATGGTCTCAATTTCGAACACCGCCACAACCAACCAACTTTGATAGTAGGCAGGTTTGCTGTCGTCCGGTTCAAAACCACGCCTAGCCTAAAGAGGCCTTATGTGGTTCGTCACTCCATGGGGCCCACTCCGTCCGTTGTTCATCACACTTAGGTGTAAAATAAAAAACTAATCCCTCTGTGGTTTTCACAGGAAGATTTTTCACCTTTCCTGCACACCGGTAAGATGACCGATTCACACTATTCAGTTGAAACTTGTCCTATCACCGATATTTATCCCAGGAGTATCGTCAACTCCAAAACAAAGGCTGGACATGCATCCCTAAAACTGATGGAGACAACTCCTATGGTCTAAAAGCCTTATACCTTTTGAGATAACTTATACATACAATCATGAGACCAAAGACAGCAATGATGCTAATCATTGACTCACAAAGAACATGGATAAATAAGCCCAGCGGCAATCTCAACCCATGGAAAGTTCGTACAAAATTACGATAGAAAAATAATAAACTTACTTCAGATGGAATATAGGTGCAAGGTTGTGACCAACGCAGAGTGCACATCGCAAACTGACATATTTCTCAAGTTATCTGACTGATGATGGCTCTTGAATCAATGTTTTTAACCATCGTTCTGGACCATCAGTTGCATGGCGCTTCAGACTACTCTTAGCACAAAAAAGACTTGCATTGGGAATTTATATATCTATATCTGTATTTATACGTCATATATTGATCTGTAAGGCTTTTCATGTTTTACTTCGAAATTTGTAGAGTACAACACCAATTCACGTTTCAAATTCCATAAATTTAAAATCTTGGCGACTACTTCGGCAATCCGTATCTTCTCAAGAAAACCTTAAGGTAAATAAATCATTGAAAAATGTCAAAATATAACCATTAAAATGAGTTATTCCTATCCCTGGCAATATTTTCAGGGCCTGCAATACTCCGCAAGTTTGTTGCTTGATCAGACCCTAAAGTAGGTTATTCAAATATGCAACAGCATGACGGTCTGGGAGGTCAAAATGCTTTTATTTCAACTCACTTTCTGAGATTTCGTTTCTAGAAAAATAACAACCATAGGGATGGATTGACAAGAGCAAATATACCCCATTTCACTGTCAGATAAGGAGCCAGTCGGAGCGATACAGTGATGATGGGCGCATGCAATGCACTTTTAGCTGCAGCAATAGCCCCGATGTATCTCAAAGCGAGCTTTCGACTACAACATATGAGTAAGCAACCGAGGGCAATCAAACCCCTCAGGGCACCTGTTTTTCGCACAGGGCAATCAGTACTTGGAACATGCTACTTAATGGAGTCGTGACGCCAGCAACCATTACCGAGTTCCAGCTAAAGCTTGGTGAATCCAGAGCAACTAGGTTCCTCGACTATATCTGAAAACTGGCTACGGGTCAACAATAGCTCGTGCCTCTCTGCGCCTACCTCCTTTTATTTTAAGTCTGACTATCTCGAACTATTTCTTCCGCATCCTCTACCCTCAATAACCTCATAGATTTCCACTATTAATCACGGAACAATTAAATCTTTTGCAACAATCGACATTTAATAGACCGCATAGACAACTAACTGATCATTTTCTATTATTGCCACGCATGCTTAACACTGATAGCTCAAAGCGGAGGGTTCCGAGCTGTTTCTTGGACCCTGATAATATTTCGGATGCATACTATCATTCTGAGGATCAATCACTGTGTTTTCTCTTTACAGCACCGCATTCCTTTAGGTTCATGTGAAACAAATAACACAACTGCTGCAGTAATGTGTTGCCCTAAGCTCACCGGCGCAAGAAGCTGTACCGCTGACCTCGTGACATAAGAATCAGGACCAATATTACATCAGGGCAAATGTCCCGTGATCTAACGCAATCTTAGATGGTTGCAAGCGAAGAAGTGCATGAAGATCATTGAAGCTTGATTGCTCAAGAAACTGGACTCTTGATGGCATCAAAAACTATTCAGGTTAGGTCAGGTCGGTTCACAGGACGTAGCGGCGGCGTGCTAATTTGTCCAGCTTCTTGCAATGATGGGTTTCGTGGATCCCCTGGTGCTACAACAACAGGAAGAGAAAAACTTCTTCAATTAAACGAATAGTATACAACGACCAGGAGAAACCCCTTTGCTCCAGTCCGAGGGGTTCCTTCAGGAATGGTGTTGTAGCTTGCAGGCTCATGGGACGGCCAGACCATCCATTGGGACAGAAGTTGGTGCAAAGGAGTAGACGTGCCTAATAGAGGTAGAGCAAAGGATAAACCGGAAGTCCCTAGAGAGATTTATCAATAAATGGGTAGCGGTCCCCGAGTCAGCTGTATTTGAACTGTTCAACTCAGTCCCCGCTTCCCTCGAATACCCTGATCCAAACAATGTCTGGTCTGCACTTGAAATCTGCTACCGAATTGGCAGCAATGGCTTCATCTGGTGGCCTATTCCAGTCATTGACAACTCTCGTTGCGAGGGAGGACGCTCTTAGACAGGGTTTCACTCTATCTAATCAGTTTTAGAGCGTGTCCTCTCAGACTTGTTACTTCATTGAGCTTGAGCAGCGCTCCCTTTGCTACATCCATAAAGCCTCTCTGGATTTTGTACGCCTCAATCAGGTCACCACGTTGCCTGCGCCTACTCAACGATAAGAGGTTTAGGGTTTCGACACGTTTCTCTTAAGAGATATCTCATGCCCGCATTCCACTTGGTGAAGCGACGTTGTACTGATTCTAATGTTTTCATGTCCTGGATCATAAACGGGCTCCAAGTCGGGACGCGGTACTCGAAGTGTGATCGCAAGTAAGCCTCGTAGAGAGGTAGCAAGACTTCGGGTTTCCTTGAGCCGTGTATATACAAGCCCATTATTTAACCTTTTGAACTGACAACACCGTGGTGTTTATGCTGCAGCAGAAACCAAGTTCATATAGGAATGTCTATTACTCACAGCAGTTACCTATCACGACGGGTCAATCAACTGCTATCATCTAGACATCTCTTCGAAGATAGAGATAAATGTTTTAAACAAGCAACCTTAGTTGTCTATAAGAAGACCTGCTTGGGAAAACCCAAACGAAATGAAGCCAAGTTAAGTATTGACAATTATCATTCCAAATTTATTTGGAATTACGAATACATACATATATATATATATATATATATATATGTGCATTAAACATGCTAAATTATTTATTTATTTATTTATTTTCACACACGTTTGAATCCAAACTGTGTGGCAAACGAATCATGGTACAGTAATCCTTATGAAAAAGAAAAACGTTCCATAATTTGCATGTGATCTGAATACTACCAGGTCCTGTCCTGTCCATACATATATAGATAAAAATATAAATTTATAAATATAATTTAACACATGTATTAAAATGTTTATAATCTTGATAAAATTTGTGCATATTTTTTTATCTCACAGTGCAACTGGGCCAACCAAAAAAAGAAACATTCATTTGAACCTAAAGGAGTTGAGAAGGGTGCACAAAACGTTCACGAATAAACATTATATGGAATAAATTTTAGTAACTATAATTTCACTGATCAGCGAAATTAGCTAAGTTGACCTATAGACCACATTCGGTCCAATTATTCGATCAACAATTACCAAAATTCACGAACTTACAAACGTTGACCCCATTCACTTCAACCACATAATCATTATCCCGAATTCCAGCAGCGTAAGCCGGAGATCGCATATCAACTTCACCGATGAAATGCCCGACTTTACCCTTAGTAGCGTGCAGACTGAAGCCATAGCCACGAAAATCATCCCATTTACAAATTTTACACAGTCTTGGCCGATAAGTGAGAGGCATGGTGAAGGAATGTGCGGAAAGAGCCTAAAGCGTCAGATTGAACCACGCGGCGTATAGGCAGCCGAACTTGTAACCTGAAACTTCATTTTTGATGAATATAAACAAACTCAAACTTCCGTTTCACACACTCAGTCAGTCAGTCAGTCAGTCACTTTGCACTGGACAGGAGATGACCACGGCCAACCGGACGTTCAGAGTTCCTCCGGCTGTAAGCCACGTGTTGACCAAGAATCGGGGGCACTTGGGCGCCAGCCTCGAACCCGAGAGTCACTTCAAGACTTCAAGACAAGACCCCTACCACTGCAAGTGTCCTATATTGCAGTTCTACATGTTTCCTTCTCTTTTCAATAATCTCCACCTCTGCAAGGGAAGAGAAAGGAAAAAAATATCTTTTCCCCTTTTTCAGGCGACAGACCACACATTTGGAAGCGTTCCCCTTCAGTTCAGTTCAGTTGCACAGGACGAATATGGCTCTTGCCAATCGAGCGTCCAGTTCATTGCGTTTTAGGCGAATGGGAGAAGCAACCAACACTGTGTACAGTTTATTGGGTATTTGTGATCCTCACGCTTCAACCCCGAGTCCAGAACGTTGTATCCTTGGGGTATGCTGAAACGGAAAAAACAAGCAAGGATATCTCCTCGCCTCATTGGTTAGAGACCTCAAGTACACTTGCGCTAGTATACAGCTTACGCGTGACAGGATAATCAGGTTTTTAGAATAATTCCAACACTCAAACCGAAGTTTATATCATTTCACAACTTCTGGCTAGAGTAGAATCTACTCTTAATGTTCCCAGTCTAAGTACTAACTTCGGGAAATGTTTCTGGCCAACATGCGTCCAGTGCCACCTTGAAGGTGTTAACATTGGCGCAGCTGACCCTTAGAGTGGTTAATAACTGAAAAAACCTATCACTGCTTCCAGACCTTAATCTATGCGTCTATTTCATAAAATAAGTTCAACCAGCGCTTATCGAGTTCCTTCTTGAAAGAATGTACGCTCCCGAGCTCCACCATCACCTGTGGTAACTTATTCCATGAGTTCACTGCCCTATTGCTGAAGAAGTTTGAACGCACCGCTAGTTACGTGCGCACTTTATTCAGCTTGTACACGTGCCCCCTCCCCTCATTGCTTTGCATCCTCTCGAAGGACACTGCTGGATCCGTCCCTGATAAGCCATTCATAATTTTGAATACCTCTATCAAGTCACCTCGGAGTCTTCTCTCCAAGAGTCCAAGGTCCTGTAGTCTCTGCTTACGCGGCTTCCCTCGTTGTCCTTCAATCATCCTGATGGCTAATCTTTAGACCCCCAGGAGACAAGCAGCGCTTAGAGATAGAAGATGCAATTTCACGACCTGCAACAGCGATCCAATCACTTATTTTCCCGTGTTTCTTGATCACCCGGTATGGATCAAAAAGAACAGCCAGTCAGTCGAGAGAAAGTTTATTCTTCCCTGAAAGCACCGGAGTTTTAGCCTATACTCGAGAGTGTCTGAAGGCGAAAAGCGCTTAGCGAGAGGTGTAGCACTGAACACACGCACTGTTTAAAGTGAAAGTAACTTCACCGGAGGTGGTATGGACTTAAACAAAGATAAAAGACCTAGCTGAAGAAGCAGTCTCAGGATATCGAAAATCCTGGCGGAATCTATGCCACAAAGGAGAAGGATGCACGAGCGAATGCTCCAAGCAACCAATGACTGCAACCATGCGAAAGCATACATGCGGAACAGGCAGACAAAACGTGATGACAGTTCTCGAGGATGTTACACTGTCGGTCTCAAGCCACCACAAGCGACCTTTCTGAAGAAGATAGCCCAAGCTTGTATACAATACCCTGAATGTGGTCAAACAGTGGCCTTGTATACAGGTACAAATACCTCCGGTTAGTGTCAACCTCAATGCAAAAAGCTCTCTACGAGCGCGGGGCGCCGCTGTGGCACACTGTTTTGCCTATTTACAGTTTGCTGTCATTATGGTTCCTAAATCTCCAGCCTTGTGTGGCGTTCCTAGTGAAAGACAGTGTGGTGATCGTGTAACGATTACTCACGCACCGCGGTACAGCTTCCGGCTAACCAATCAAGAATAGAATAACCGACCAA